GCCCTCATGGCTCGTGACCTGGAAATTGTTATTATATAGGGATTATATTGGGGTTATATTGGGGTCATATAGGGATTATATAGGGACTGTATAGGGGTTATATTGGGATAATGGAAAATCAAATGGAAACTATGACGATGAAGAAGATGATGTTGTTGGTGGTGGCTGCTATGAGAAAGAATAACGCTAAGAACAAGAAGCGTTCAGAACAACTAAGATCTACGACATGGACTAGATCTATTTGGTTGTATCTCACAACATGCATCCCGGCTATCCACTCCATGAAGATGCTCGAAAGGCAAGAAAATCATCACACACTTTCTAACTGCATCACACAATAACCATCCCCAACAAACTGATATGCGGAAAGTCCCCCTTAAGTAGATAGAATATGGGGTATATGGGGATCTTATCATAAAAATACCCAAAGCCATATTCTATCTACTTAAGGGGGACTGTAGCCATAGGGCGCATCGTTTCCATCGCCCACGGTGGCCCCGGCAGATGATGTGGCAATGGACAGTCGAACGGAGCCCCACTCCTCAGGGAGCAACAGAAACAAAGTGGTTTCTCCGCAGTTTAGGGTTTAGGGTTTAGGGTTAAATCCGAAAAAATACAGCGGGGTCCGTGACTTAGAGTAAACCCCTGCCCTTCTACTCCTGGTCAAAAGACCTGACCAGTAACGAGCCCGTGACCTCACGTGACAAAGAGGGCAATGGTCATTCTTCTCACTAGGACTACGAAAACTGTGAAACTATTCTTGCTATCATTTATTTCCTTACCTTCATTATTGATATTACTATTATTGCCGGTGTTTGTTAATTCCGTTTCTCGGGAGGCCAGTGCTGTGCCTGTACCGTTCAGAAACTCTGCCTGCTATGCCTCTTAACCCGAGAGCCTGAGAATTCGTAGAATGCTGGAGCCCTAAACCCTAGAACCCTGAATCCTAAACTGCTCCAACGAAAACTATCATAAGTTCCTGGAGCGAGCGTCCAGAACTGGGGTACCAGGGGACCCTGAAAATGTTTTGGGATGTGATAACGGATACAGGGTCACTGGTAGGATTATACATGGTGCATTTTGACAAACAACCCCTTGTTGATCTCTAAACCCTAAATTGCAGTTTCCATTTTCTTTTCCATTGCTACAACCTTATGAATGGCTGTTCCACAGCTGCTCCACCCTAAACCCTGAACCCTAAACCTCCAACCCTAAACCGTGACTCCTCGAGGGCCTGGCCAATCCGACGCTTCGAGGCTTCCCAAGAGTCCTTTTGGCCCTTTTGTGTTTCCTCGGGAATGGAAAATCAACTGGGAATGGAACAGATACTGGAAACTGTTATAGTACATGGGGGATTGCATTGGGATATCATATGAGCTAGAGTCTAAACTCCTTAAAGTGAGCTTGTATAGGGGGATTATATAGGGAACTACTACAGGGCTTATTAAGGCGGATACTAGGAGTTTAGATTATGGCTCATATAGGGATCTTGTAGCGGATATTACCCCCAAGAACGGAGAATCAGATGGAAAAAAATGGAAAATGACATGGAAACTGGGTTTATACAGGTATGATAGGCTCCGGGTCACGTGGTAGGATGTCAACATGATGGTCCCTTGGAATATTTAGGGCATACCGAAAAAGTCAGAATTGTCACAAACGACAGCGTGAAGATTGTTTGGCCGTTTTTTGGGAATCTGTATGATGAGTCAATGATGAGGGTCAACAAGGATTGTATTTTCGTAGCCCTAAACACCAAACCGTAAACCCTAGGGTCTATACAGGTCTCGAAAATTGAGCAGCGGTTTTACCAGCTTTGCAAAGTCGGACCCAGGTGTCGCACTCCTTGTACTCTTTCCATACTTGGAGGGTCATTCGAACTGTTTAGGGCTTAGGGTTTAGGAATAAGGTGTGTATATATATATATATATATCCGCCGACCTTGGGGGCATGTTGGATGGTTTCAGTAGGCAGAGAGGGTGCCCTCTTCTTTTTCGCTTGCAATCCAAAGGGCGGCAGGCTGCATTTATCTGTGGTCAGCAACTCCCGCCCCTTAGACCCGGGCCTCAAGCCCCTGAGGGCCGGGCCCAAGCCTCTGGGGCCCGAGCCCCCACATTTCTTGGGCGCCAAATCGGGTCGCACCTTGCAAGGGTCCTGCACAATCCCGGCAAGCTGGCTTGTTGTGGCTCTTTTGCGCGGCCACTGAAAACAGCAAAGCTGTGGTCCCGGCAGCCTAGCGTGGATTAATCTTGTTAGGCAAAGGAAGTGGGTGTCAGGCTGGGGGCTGCCCGAGCATGCTCATCAGGGGCCACCCCAAGCTAGGCTCATGAAGGCCCGGACAAATGGAATGCAGTAGTGTTGGTCCTGACACGGTCCCAGCAACCTGGCTTGTTGCGCCGATTGATTTCCTGCGCAACCACTGAAAGCAGCAAGGCAGCGCAGTCCCGGCAGCCTAGCTTGAACTAATCTTGTTGCGTCGAAACATCAAGGCTTTAAGTTTAGGCTTTAACCGTCTCGACCTCTCCGCGCACGATTGTCGCCTGGGGCCCAGGCCCAAGCCTCTGAGGGCCCGTGCCTCAAACCCCTGGAACCCGGGTCCCGAACCCCTAGGTTGCATGCTGATCAGGGTGCCCACCCACGCCAGGCTCTCATCAAGGATTGGACACCTCTGCAACAATAATGCAGTGTTGGTCCTGCACAGTCCCGGCAACTTGGCTTGTTGCGCCGAATGATTTCCCACGCAGCGACTGAAAACAGCAAAGCTGCTGAGTCCGGCAGCCTAGCTTGGACTAATCTTGTTGCGCCGATTGGTCTCGTGCCAGCCGCTGAAACCTTCAAGGTTCAGGGTTTAGGCTTTCGCGTTTTATCCGCCTCTGGGTCGGCGGACTGACCCGGAGGCTCTTAAGTCCGGCCTGGCCGTCGTGGTCCAGTGCGGATGCATACAATTGGGCCTTTGTTTCTCACTTTTGGACACCTCAATATACCTAAGGTTTTGGAAGGGTGTTGGGGCCTCATGTGTGTGGTGTGAAGAAGGAAATTGGGGGCCCAGATAGGTCCCATGATGCTCATGATGCTGGCTCTTGGGGGGGTGCCGGGCGCTTAAAATGCGCTATAATAGACCCAACAAAATGCTCAAAATACACGCTGTGGGCTGGGCTTCTAGTTGAAAATGCCGCCATAAGCAAAACCCAAACGGCAAGGCTAACCCCCCCATAAGCAAAATCCAAAAGCTAAACTTGACACCCCCATATGCAAGACCTAAGTGGCAAGGTCAACCGTCAACCCCCCCCATAAGCAAACCGAAATGGGAGGGTTGACCACCCCCTAACCCAAACCCAAAAGGCAAGGTTAGCCCCCCCATAAGCAAAACCCAAATGGCAAGCCTAACCCCCCCATAAGCGAAACCCAAAAGCCAGACTTAACCCCCCATACGCAAAACCTAAGTGGCAAGGTTAAACCCCCCCCCATAAGCAAAACCTGAATGACAATGTTTACCCCCATAAACCCTTTCGTGCATTTCTCTCAATCAGGAGCATCAGCAGGGCTCGGCTTTCACATGATGGTTGGGTGGGGAGGGGGGGCGGCGGCCAGGCCGGCACTTGCCGCCAGGCCCTACTATATATCTATATGTGTGTATATATATATGTATATGAATATACTTGGGGGTCAAGGGGACTTAGTAAGTAGGTTAATCATGGGGATAACTAGGGGTACTATATGGGTTATGGGGGTTATTAGCCTACTTACTAAGTCCCCCTGACCCTCCAAGTAAGCCGTCCTCGAACCACAAAAGACTTGAAGCCCCGAATCGTATTTACGATTCAGGATTATGGGGAAGGTCTGTTGAAATGCCAGCACTTCCAAAGGTCAGAGGTATAAGAGACATCCCGAAGGAGGCTGAGGCGTTGGAAAGGTCATGCGCGGTTTAAAACCGTTTGGGCGTCCCATCCCAGAATCCTGATCCTCCTCAGCCTCTGCCCGAGCCTCAGAAGCAAGCATTTGTGAATCTGCTAAACCTTCACCAAAATTCTGTCTACAACCCCATTCCTCAATCACACGAGCACGCCTTTGGTGGCAAAGCCAGGTCGCACCTAGCCTTTCACAGGAAGTGTTGTGACGCCGAGAGCACCAGATAAATGGCAGTATGATGAACTTTTAGCAACCAAAAAAATCCCACAAGCCTCATCCAGCTATTCCAACATGGGCACAACTTTTCCAGACAAGCCGTGTCTCCCTCACGTAATCTTCTGGAAAGAGGTAACGTAGCACCTCGGCGCGGTCCAGAACGCCGTTGTGGTCGTTGTCGAACCTAGATGGGGCGGCGGGGATTTAGGGGATTTAGGACAGCAATAATGGTGATAATGCACATCAGCAAGCAAGCATCAGTAGGCTAAGTATAGTAGCGGACAAGCGATTTGGCATTGAACCACACCATCTGGGCCTTTAAAACCGCAATCTTGCACTGGCTAATCATATCCTGAAGATGCCTGCACTTGCAAACCAATTCCCCTCGTTTTGGGGAGGGGGGAGGGGGGGGGGGGG